GTTCCAACCCCCTGCCATGGGCAGGGACACTTCACACTAGACCATGTTGCCCAAGCCCCATCCAACCTGCTCTTGAACACTGCCAGGGATGGGGCAGCCACAGCTTCTCTGGGCAACCTGTGCCAGTGCCTCACCACCCTCACAGTAAACAACTTCTTCCTTATATCTAACCTTAGCTTCCCCTGTGTAAGTTTAAATCCATTATCCCTTGTCCTATCACTACATGCTGCTGGTGTTGCTGCGTGCTGGCGGTATGGGAGCTCCAGGAGCACACCTGAGGACTTCTTGTGGCTGGAGTCTGTTCTGCTCCCTATGGTACATGAACCCTAAAGAGTTTGGTAACTGTGCTCACCCAACAGGGAAATCATAAGGATAAAAGGGCTGTAAAACAATTGGCCTATGTGTGTTCTTGGCCAAGCTGCAGCCAGGGGTGGCTTGAAGCTTAAATAGAAATGAGCAAGTTGGACCCAGGCAGGTTTAAAAAGCTAGCCAACTTTACTGAAGTAAAGTCTTATTTAACCATTCCCTTGTTGCTTTCAAGGTGGCATATACTGCCAGGTGAGTGGAAGTATGTTTGTTTTGGAGCCCTGGGTAAATGTCATGTAGAGGAATGAAAATGTCAATGTGTAGCTGCATTTGTTTAATGGAATTGTATAAGCAAGGCTGTGAGCACAGATCATCTTCTCACTTGAGTGCCAAGTCCTGAAGGTGTTGAACCACTTCCCACTCCTCCCAGCACGCAGCCATCCCCACACTGTGCTGGCACAAGGGTCACAGGGATGCTCGCAGGGCATTCCCCTGGGTTAGCTTGGAGTTACAGTGCTATATTTTTTTTTTATTTCTCACCTTTTACTTTATAGCAGCTTCCCTGCGGGCACTAAACCATAAAAAGCAAGCAGGAGTGCAGGGATGCATCTTTATATTTACTACTGCATCTCATTTTCCATATAAACTCATTTTGTGTACAGTTTTAAACCCACCCCCTTCTTTAGAAGATGAACAGTTTGTCTAAAAGGGGTTATGTTTCCTCTTCTACTAGAGGATCACTTAGGAGGAAAGATTGTGTTTCACAAAGGAAGGCTGATGCGGTGCATTAAAACCTACCAAGAGTCAAAGAGTGCTTAAAGAAAAACAATGGGCGAACTTAAGTAGTTAACAGATAGTTCATTTTGGCCCCAAGGAGATCTGCTTTTAGTGATACCTGCTGAAGTGCAAGATACTGGTCTGCAATTTAAGTATGGTGCTGGTTAGCACCTTTGCTGTCCCTAGGTTTCCCAGTTTTCTCTTCCATGGTGTAAGCTGTTGTGTAGCTTTGGGCAAGTCGTTCAACCTCTTGCTTCCCATTTCTGCTCGTAAAAGCAGAACTGCTCTGTTTAAATCCCACTCTCAGGAGGGGCAGGCGACTGTCTTTTATTGTTGTTCTACAGGCTGTTGTGCTCAACACCTACCTTTGGTTGTTACACTGCTCCTAAAATTAAAGTAATACTACTAATGATAAGGTGGTGCTGACAGCAGGGGTGCCTAGTCCAGAGCATGCGGTGGTCATGGTGGAGTGATGCACCATCTCATACATAGGGTCAAATCCTTTCTCCACACATCACTTTGAAGGAGATTTCAATGTTCAGGACAGTAGATTTCCCTCTGTTCAGACACAGGGTGCGTGCTGTACATGGCTGTGTTGATGAAGGTAATTATATATATATATGTATATCGTTTTGTCATCCTAAACAAGAGAAAAGGTCCCTGATTGTAGAGCAGAAGGTAAGAATGGTCGACGTGAAATCCATCTTTCAATAACAAGGGACTCTTTGGTTTGAGAGCACTTAAAGGGTGTCTGTGTTACTGGCAAGAATGTTGATGGCTTCTTTTCCACATCTGTTAAATATTCAGCACATGTTTTCAGCAATCTTTACCCTTTCTGCGAGGCTGAACGGGTTTGATTGGATTTCATGCAATTAGTATACTGTGAGGATTTGCTTCAATTCGGAGATGATTTCTCTTTGTCTGCTTGTGGTTTTCTGCAAATAACTGAGCAAGTGCACCCTGATGGCAAAAGCATTTGAGGAAAATAGAAGTCAGAATCCAGTGGGAAATGGGAATTTAACTGAGATCTATCAGCTTGCATAGTAAGAATTCCTGTATGCTTTTCAGAAAACAGAAGTTTAGTTGTTAGGAGATAGATAAGTCGTGTCTCTGGGTGTTAAATCACAGAAAGCAAAAGCATTTAGAAAGCTGTTCATTGAATATGCTCAGGGAAAAAAAGAAATCACAGTGAGTTGTGGTTTTTGAGAGCAGGAAAAAGGCCAATCTTATGTCATAGGCTAATAAAATGTATTAAGGATGAAGTCAGTGAAAGTTCTGTAGGAAATCCTCTGAAACTGAGGATGAATAGTAACTTGTAGTCAACATTCTGAGAAAAATAGAAAGTTAAGTCAAATACGAGACAAAAATCACATTTGGCCTACCTTTGTATTGCAAGAAAACTTGGTAAAGGCTGAGTATCCGTCAGAAGGGAGCACTGCTTGCCTTGGGAAAGCTCTGCATGGCTGTTCTGCGAGGTGAGTACCCTCCATGAACAAGTCACAAACCAGTTCCTCAGCACACTGTTAGTACTGAGAAATTTGGTCAGAAAGCAGAAGATGGCTAAATCAATGATTCCAAGTGTTTTCTAGCACATGTTTGCTTTAGGACACATCTAGCTTTGGGAGGATGCCCAAACACAGAAATATCTTTTCCATCTCCCCTGGTTGGGAGGACCATTTCAGGTGGTGAATTGTACACAAGCCCATGGGGAGCTCCTTCCCCAAGCCCGAGCATGGCTTGAAAGGGCTGTTTTGAGAGAAGCATGAGCTAACCCTTCTCTCTGCAGTGAGCCCAGTGCCAACCTCAGCAATCCATGGACAAAGAGGAATAGAGAGCATGGAAATGTGGTGTCTCATGTTGACACCTCTAGGGAAATGAACCATGCTTGTGGGGAGAGCCTGACACCAGTGCATTTCTCCATCAATCTGTTTGCTGTCTCCCTGTTATGTAGCAGTTGCACACTGGTATGAGAAACCTGATTTGCCTTTATGCTGGGTATCATGGTGACTTACATTCTATAAGCTTTCAAAAGGCAGTATCTGCAGACTGTGGTCTTTACTGGTGTGAAGATGAAGCCACTCCATGACTGACTTGCTCCAAGCCTTTGTCTTCATGTTTGCTCTCAGTGGGAGCAGGAGGTGAAGCTGTTGCATATGAGAGCCTTTCCCTGGCTCCCCTTTCCTCTCCAGCATGCAGGAGAACTGGTGCCCTGTTGGGGCATTGCAGCACTGGAAACTGAAAGCCTCAGTCTGTGCTGGATTGAGGCACTGTCCTGCAGGGAACATTTAGTTTGAGGGATGGCTGTGAGGAAGACCCAACTTGGTGTTTAGTAACATGCTTGTTAGAACTGTTCATCAAAAAAAATCAAATATTTAATGCTTCTGAAAACCTGCTATCTGTTTTCATGGGATCTTTTTACTCGGAGTTGCTGAATGCTGATATTACTGCATTCTATACTTTTTTGGTAAGAGTCCCCATTGGTTTGGTCGACACAGCTTGAAAATCCCACTTGAAAGATGAATTCTCCAGGTATGCCTCAGAACCAAAATGTTTGGAAGCTAATTTAGACTCTTATCATCCTGCCAACATCTTACCTGCTTTAGCTTCACTGTTCCTCTTTTAGCTCAAAGGGTTTGCATTTGCTGTTGTAGATGAAACTCTCTGGCATACCCTCCATCAGGCAGGACATGGTGGGACACATCATTCTGGCAATGCCACTTGCCTGTCTCTGACTTGGTGAATTGATATTGATGGATTGATACATGATGGGATGTGGTTGCTGAACCAGGAAGTACTCAAATAGATTGCACAATGGAGAAGGAAGAGGTGCAGAAATCTTGCGCTGCTGCTGCCAGGTACCCTCCTAGTGTTTGCTGAGTTAATCCATATGGCTGGAAAATCAATTTTCACCTTTTGCCTTGTAGTGTATCCGTAGCAAGGGTGAGACCTCTTTATTATTTCACCCAGGTCAAGGTTTGAAACAATGAAAGGGATTTATACTTGTCCTCATGACAGGTCCCTAATCTTGTCCTCAGGCCTGTGTTGCTTCCATTTTTACACTGGGAGAGTCCAGTCTAACCAGCTCACGATCTTTGTCGGACAAGGCTGGACTGGCAGCATGGATTTGATCTGAATTTGTGTAACACAGAGCAACTGCATCCATCTGTACAATGGAGAAGTCAGGCAGGTGGAGACCTACAGACCTGGCCATCCCCAAGCTGCATGTAAAAGGCATCTGCTGCCCTTCCCATGGCTTACAGCTGCTGTGCAGGGAAGTTAATGGTCCTGTACTTAAAATATCTTGTACAGGCTTATGTGTGGAAGTCGTTTTCTATTGAAAGTATCTGTGTAAGCTTGTTTTTGCTAGAGGATGGCTCAGAAAAGCCTCTGAACAGCAACCTCCTTGATGTGACACCACTTGTACAGGACCAAAGTGCTTACTGGGGGGTTGCGGGGGCAGTCCTCTATCCTGCAGCGCCCAGCACTCCGGGGCAACGGCTTTGCTCTCCCTGCCCTCCTTCGAAGGCCGTCGGTGGAAAACGTTTTGCTTGTGGTAAACGCTGTCCCCGGGCTCTGTGCGCCTGCAGCGGTTCTATCAGTGCTCTGAGAGGTTCTCGGGGGGGGCTCGGCTCTGTGACCGGGCGCTGGCGGCTTCCGCTGCCGAAGGGGCTGCTTTGTGCAGCTCCGCGGTGCGGAGCCGAGTATCCAGCCCCTCCGTTCCGCCGCCTCCATCAGCGCTTGAACCGCCCCCGACCTGCGGGGGGCGCTGCCGCTGCCTGTCAACGAGGGAACCAGCCGCCGCCGCTTCTCATTGGCTGCCGATGACATCACCGGGCGGTACAGTCACGCCTCTAGCCCCGCCCCTCCTCCCAGCTACCGCGCTGCCATTGGCCGGAGGTGCCGCCCGTCACCGGCAGGCCCCGCCCCTCCTCCGGGCCGTACATTTACGCGGTAGCAAAAGGGAAAGTAAGGAGGATGGTGCGGGCGGCGCGGGGCGGCGGGCGGGACGTGCAGCACCGGCGGCAGCCACCGCAGCCACAGCCGCGACGGACCGGGCCCCAGCGCGCCCCGCCGGTGAGTGCGGCAGGGGGCGAGCGGAGCGGCGGGGACCAGCGGCCCCGGCGTGGAACTTGGGTTTCACCGTGTGCTGCTCGTCGCATCCCTCCGCCCGATAGCGGAGCCGGGATGTGTCCCTCGGTTGTTCAGTTGTGTTAGCTGCAGAGGCGCTCCTAGTGTGTGTCCATCTGTTTTCTAAGCAGCGGGAAGGGCGAGGGGAAAACGGCATGGGAAACCTCCCCGCTCGGCCCTTCGAAGCTCTGCAGCCCCGCCGGTCGCGGCGTCTCCCGCTGCCCCGCGAGCGGAGGTTGCTTCGGGGCCGCCCGGCTATGGGGTGTTGCTGGACGGGATGGGGTATCTCCATGCCCCCTATCAGCGGGGCTGGATGGGGAGCGAGCCGGTGTCCTCCCGCTGCTGGGGTTTTGGCGGAGTTCGGGAAGTTGGTGCTGGGATGTGTTTTACAGCGGGAGCCGCCGCTGCTCCAGAAGTTGCCGGGGAAGGGGAGACAGTGCCTGGGCTTTCTTGGGTTGTGTGGCTCTTGTCATCCTGCTTCCTGCCCGAGTGGAAAAAGGGGGTTTTAATCCCGTGTGCTGTCTCTTATTAAAGGTTGGGCAGGCTGTGACCTTGCTGGGGCACAGGGAACCCCTCTTTCTAGAAGCTGTGAGATGTGCTAGCGAGGAGGGGACGAGTTTCTCTGGGACTGATGGAGAACAGCCTTCCTGGAGCTGGGGGTTTAGCTGGGGATGCATTAACCTCTGACAGGGGGATGGAAGCTTTACTTTCTGTAAAGAACTCCAGAACCTAAATTTCCCATTGTCTCCGGGGTGTTTTTTTTTTTTTTTTTGTTTAGCTCTATGTTTCAAGTTTGTAACCAACTCTGACAACTTATTCACCAGCTAATTTTATTCCAGCTTGGTGGAAAAGTTGCATATCATCACTGACACATTCCACTCCTGTGCGTTTCTCTGAGTTAGAGTCAGCCCTGTGGCTGCTTCCCTTGCAGTAAGCAGGGGAACAAGAGAACGTGCCTCTCTGTCATTATCAGTTGCATGCCTTGCTTGCAGCCCGGGATTTCAGAATAGCTCAGCACCATCTGCATGTAGACAAATGCCTCCTCCTGGGTGTAGCTGCACAGCCCAGGCTTAGGAGTGTGTATTCTGCATGCCATGTGCACGCATGCAGATAGCTCAAGTATTTGCTGTAAGACTGGAAAAGGGGTTTTAGCAACTACTGTGAGCTGGTAACTGTCAGAGGGGTTGGTCGGTTGTTACCTGCGGATGAGGGGTGTTGGTAAAGTAAGTTGCTGTATCTGAGGGCTTATGTGATTTCATGATCTGCTTTTGTCATCGTTTTCTTCTTCCCATTCCCCCTCCCTTTTATCTTTTGCAGGGTGATCTTGAGTTCTTCTTAACTTGCTAGTGCTCAGCCTCCTCATGCCTCCATCTCCTTTAGACGATAGGGTAGTAGTGGCACTTTCGAGGCCAGTGAGACCTCAGGATCTCAACCTTTGTTTAGACTCTAGCTATCTTGAATCTGCCTCTTCTGCCAGTGAGAGCCACTCCAGTCTGCTCGGCACAGCTGTCGTGTCCCTAAAGACTGCTAATCTCACGTATATGCCCTCATCCAACGGCTCTGCACGCTCCCTGAGTTGTGGATGCAGCAGTGCCAGCTGCTGCACTGTGGCAACGTACGACAAGGACGCTCAGGCCCAAACTCAAGCGAGCACCAGCAGCGCCGGAGCCTCCACTGCCTGCCCTGCCAACCAAATGGTCAACAGCAATGAGAACACCGGCAGCTTGAGCCCGCTGGGCAGCGTGGGGAGCCCGGTCTCGGGCTCCACCAAGCAACTCGCTAGCATCAAAATCATTTACCCCAACGACCTGGCGAAGAAGATGACCAAATGCAGCAAGAGCCACCAGCAGAGCCAAGGGCCTGTCATCATTGACTGCAGGCCGTTCATGGAGTATAACAAGAGCCACATTCAAGGGGCTGTCCATATTAACTGTTCTGACAAGATCAGCCGGAGAAGGCTTCAGCAGGGCAAGATCACCGTCTTAGACTTGATCTCCTGCCGGGAAGGCAAGGACTCCTTCAAGAGGATCTTTTCCAAAGAAATCATAGTCTATGATGAGAATACCAATGAGCCAAGCAGAGTTATGCCTTCCCAGCCACTCCACATAGTGCTGGAGTCACTCAAGCGAGAAGGCAAGGAACCCCTAGTCCTAAAAGGTAATTTTCCTCTTTGCCCACCTGTAGTGGTTCCCTTTGCAGTGCGTGTCCTCTGGTGTCAGCCTTGCTGATGGTTGTGCTTTGAAAGCTTGTGTTTACCTCTAGAAAGGCCTGCATGCCTCGAGCCACCAGTGGCAAAGCAAATGCTTTCCATGGATAAATCATGGAGCCAGTAGCAAGGGAGATGCTTGCTTTTCTCTGTTGTCCTTGAGTAGCAGAGGGGGTGGGAACTGGAAGGGGGAGGAAACGTGCTTCCTGGTGTCTGTCTGTGCAGACAAAGAATTTCCCCCCGTGTTTGCTCCGAGTATTTATAACCCAAGGGGCAGAGGTCCAGGAGGGTATATTTCTCTTTTAGCTTGTCAGACTGACCTTTACTTAGCAACCTTATTTTAGTCCATATAAAACTGGACTCATAGGTGCTGGAGATGGACAGTGGGAGAGTCATAGAAGGGAGGAGGAAGGAGTCAGGAGGCCACTTGGTCTGAGGCATTGCATCATGGACCAGTCAGCAAAACTTGGAGAACACTCGAGCCTTGTTTTGGTGGTATGGGGTCAGAATAATGGACAGAGAGAGATAATTCATCTAAAAAGTGATCTGAAAGTGTTGTGTTTACACGTATGCGTGCATATATGGTTTTCCTGTAAAGGCTTCTGTTTTAATGTGGTGTTTGGTCTATCCCTTAATGCTCTGGGGGGAAACAAGCCCATTAAGGCGGCATCCAAAGACACTTCCCTTTCTTCACTTTATTCTGTAGCTCCTGTTTATAACAATGCTGCCCTCTAGATTGGTTCTCCTTTCCCCTGGGTGTTTATGCCATTCAGAGGCATGCATGGTTGGCAGAGACTGGCTTTGGCACTGGGAAACTATGGGAGGTTAAGGTTCCTTCCAACCCAAACCAGTCTGTGCTTCTATGATTTGTTGAGCTCTTTCTCTCTTTCCAGCTCTTACTGTATTTAATTCACTCAGTTTTTCTGTTCCAGCCTGCACAATGTGGCAAGAGAATTGATCAGGCTGATAACTGATCCCCATTTCTCATAGCTTTATAGGCCTAAGGGTCCTGTGAGATACTCCTCTGTGTGTGTATCTTGTGGAAGCTTAAAATTGCACTGAGCTTTATCTTTTCTCCCAGTAAGTATATTTTGATTCTGGGCTTGCTTTAATAATTGTTACGAGTTCCCAGTATGCTCTTATTGAGTTTCTCAGGTCATGATGGTGCCCTTCATCCATAAAGAGGGAGAGGAGGTGCTTTGCAGAGTGAGGTTACCACTGAAGTCCTGCATTTCTGGTGATAATCATTCTGTTGTACAGCCTTTGCCACCGGGTGTATGGCTGTAGTCTGTGAACCTTCCTATCCTTAGAAAAGTGAGTTTCTGAAGGTGTTTTCCCTGTGTTTCTCTGGAAACACTGGAACTTGTGTAGACCTCAAACTGTCAGTTATTTCCTAAAGTAAGATCCTGGCTGAGATGGAGCTGCAGAGCTGTGGTTGGGCAGCACCAAGCTGTTGGGCCTGTAGGCAGGCTGTGGGCAGCCCCTTCTCCCACCACCCAGCACTGGGTTTAACAGAGTCCTCGTGGGATTGCTTGGGCCATTTTTGGTTTTCAACCCTGAGAAATGTTAGGATCTGCCTCAAAGACCTGCTTAGCAGGAGTCCCTTCCCCAAACTGTTCTGCTGACAGATACGGATGAGAATACAACTAAACCCTTTGCTTTTTGGATCTAGTGCTTGGCTGGGCCAGAGCCGGCTTCACCTCTGGAAGCACGGATTGAATAGCATCCCTGTCACCTTAACCCTCCTCCCCTCTTTTGGAGCGGGGGTCCCTCTGAGGTTGGATGGAATTGAGCGCAGTATAGAGCAGCACTTAGGAAGGCTGTGGTGAAGTTTCCAAGCAGAGGAGCAGTGCTGGAAGTGCTCATTGTTTGGTTTCACTTGTCAGATAGGGTTTTTTCCATCATGCTTCAGCACACAGAATCACAGAATCCCAAGGTTCAGGCTCTGAAATGAAGCCGGGGGTAGCTGGGGAGCCCTCTTTGCCTCTGTCTGTTATTTCCAGCGCTTTCTCTCACTCGCTGCAATCTGTTCCTAATTTATTGCCAGCCCATCTGATCCCCCCCTGTGTTGTGTTTGCAAACACTGGTTGCTAGCCTGCCTGTCCAAGTTTATGTCCCCCTGATCTGGTGCCACCTTCTCCATGTTTGGTGCTGCCTGTCAGCCCCGTTGCCGTTTGGGGTGAATCCGATCGACAAAGCCAAGGGTTGAGTTACAGCATGCTGGGGGGAGCGACGTGGCCCCATGTGCATTTTGGGTTTGGGTGCCTGTGTCTTTTTAAGCAGCAGAGAAACCCTGCGCTGCTTCCAAAGGCCAGGCTGTGATCTATAGATAAATGTATGTATGGGGCACCTTATTAGGCTCAAGTTAAAAAGAGGTGGCCTGATTTATTTTTAATGTAGTAGGCCACTATATAAACTATCAGTGTGAAAAGAGAGTGTTGGGGTTTTATGTATGCTGTGGTATGGGGGTATTTTAAGACCTGTGTTGCTCCCTTCCTATCCTGTGTGTCTCTGACTGTTCCCTTTATCATGGAGTGCTTTTTTTGTCATAAATAAAACATTTCCATAATTCTGATTTAAGCTCCTTAGAAGCAAAGATTTGCTCATTTCTTTGTGCACAGCCAATAGCACTCGAGACAAGCGTAAACCCCCTATTTAAATACACAAAGAAACAAACATCTATTTCACAGTGCTGATAAATGGGCTGCAGCAGGCTAAGCTGTCAAGGCTGAAGCTGCTGCTCCTCAGTCTGTATACAAAACAGGAATAAGTCAAGTTTTCCCCATACACACACACCTTCATACAAGACCATGGTATTGCATGAAACTTAAAGGCCTCCCTTTCTGTGGGTGCATTTTCTTTATTAGGGAAGGAGAAAAAACAGTGATATGAGCCCAGCATCCCTTCTGCCTGAGGCCACTAGCAAAGCTGTCACTGAATTTGGGGAGGCAGAGCATGGCGATGCAGCCCTGGCTTTCCTCGGAGGGGTTGTGCCCGTTTCCTTCCTGCAAACCCAATAGTGAGCCATCTCTGCCTTCCCTGAGCACCCCAACTCGTAGCAAAAGTGAGCTGGAGCCTTAGGGGTTTGTGTACTTGAGTTTGCCGCTGGATTTAAAAGTAGGATGTGGGAAATTCATTTGCATTCAGATGAAAAGTAGTATTTTTCCTAGAATGAAATGCGTAGGTTTGGAGTTGAGCATCTCTGTTTACCAAGTTAAATAGAATCTGCAAATGAAACAAAAATGAAAAGCTGAAGCATCTGTGCCCATGCATTTCAACAGCTTTTAGCACAAGAGGATTTGCCTTTGTTTCCCTGGCTGGTGTCGTGGTATTGTCTTCATCCTGCCCTTCCTCCTCTGCCTCCGAGCCCCATCAGCAGGGGCCTTGTGAACCTGCTGAAGTCTTGTGGTTAATTTTTAAAGGCTTCTGTGTTTGAGTGCAGGGAAACAGCAAATCAAAAGCAGAGGTGCAAATTGCAATTAGGCAAATAATCCATTTCCCCCCTGCCATGTGCTTTAAACCAATGGCTAGACTGCTGCAGGGGGGTAGGGAGCAACCGGCTGATGGTGATAACAACTGGTTGCTTCTCTATTCTTGTTCCAGGTCTCAGGACCTTATTTATGCTCTGGCTTTCAGTCTTCTCATAGCTCATCTAACAGGGAAATAAATGAAGTGACTTGCTCTCATTACAGCAGAGAGTATAAGACCTGCCAGCAAACCACTTCATGCTTTCTGCCACGGTCTAAGAATAGCTTCAGATCTCTTACCACACCAAAGTTGCATATCACAAGTTGGAACAACTATAAAGAGATTGAGACAGCTGTAAAAGGAATAAGTACCTGGCTTATGTTGTCCCATGTTCATGCAAAATACTGCCTTCTGAAGTACCTGACCTGGTTATAATCTGTTGCAAAGACAGTCATTAATTATGATTGTAATTGCATAACTTAACGGTATTAGTGTTACTTTGAGCCCTAACTGGATGACAGTGCACAAGTGTATTGGAGATGAGAACTCGACGCAATGGTCAACAAATCCAGCTGACCAACGAAACACGTGCCTGGTGCCTATTTCCACCAGAGATCTCCACTGAATAATTATTAGGTCATGGTTCTAATGGGGAAGTGTGTATTTTTAAGTGTTAAGTAATGCGTGTGAAGCGTCCAATGTGCTTCAAACTGAAGTGCGTTCCCCCTGTGCTGCAGAGGAAATGTGGCCCCATCAGTCACTGGGGAAAAAACTTCTGCTGGCTCTATTAAGGCTGAGATTTCACCTTCACTTTTCAGGCTCTGGTTGCTAGAGCTTAAAAAAGTACCTTTCTCCATTGGAATAGATAATTGCATTGGTTGTTACACTTGAAAATCAGGTGTGTATGTCTGCACCCTTTGCATGTAGGTAAACTGGAGCAATACTGTGATTGTAGACCACAGGCTTTTCTGTGTTTTAAAGGGGTGCTTCTGCAGAGGAGTGTACCTCTAAACTTTGCCTATTCAACAGTAACAGAATGGCAAATGCAGCATTTCCTCCCAGATGATGGCATCTGAGAGTGGGGAGTGCTGGCTTGCAGAGTGCCTGTCACATTCTAACTGTCCTTGGGGGGAAGAGGGCAATGACACTGCCTTGGAAAAAAGAGGAACAGGAAGGAGGCTTGTTCTGGTGTTTGGTTGTGGGTTTTTTTAAGCTCTTCAGCTTCTCATACCCTTGGAAATCGAACAAAGAGTCAAGAAGCAAACTGTTACATTAGGCAAATCTCTCTGAGGCTGGTAAAGAAAAATCTGGCCCCAGTTGTGTTCAAACTGGAGGGACATTCCCTGCAATTTTCCGGGTAGGTAGATGTTGGGATTTTAATTAGCTGGATGCCTCACGTGCATGCCTGCTGGAGGTGAGACACTTTACTGGTAAAATCTTTATAGAGTTGCTTGCTGGTGTGTCTTCTGGCTTTTTATTCTTA